AGACAAAGGTCTGATCTCCAAAATATACAAAGAACTCAAGAAACTAGACACTAAAACTCTAACTAACCCAATTAAAAAATGGGGTACTGAACTGAACAGAGAATTCACAACAGATGAACTCCGAATGACCAAAAGGCACTTAAGGTCATGCTCAACCTCCTTAGCGATCAGGGAAATGCAAATCAAAACCACTTTGAGATACCATCTTACACCTGTCAGAATAGCTAAAGTCAAAAACACCAACGATAGCCTATGCTGGAGAAGATGTGGGGTGAGGGGAACTCTCATCCATTGTTGGTGGGAATGCAAACTCGTGCAGTCACTGTGGAAATCAGTGTGGCGGTTTCTCAGGAAACTGGCAGTCAACCTCCCTCAGGACCCAGCAATTCCACTCTTGGGTATATACCCTAGAGATTCCCTAACATACTACAAAAGCATTTGTTCTACTATGTTCATAGCAGCACTATTTGTAATAGCCAGAACCTGGAAACAGCCTAGGTGCCCCTCAATAGAAGAATGGTTAAAAAGGGTGTGGAACATATACACATTAGAGTTTTACTCAGCGGTAAAAAAACAATGACATCTTGAATTTTGCATGCAAATGGATGGAAATAGAAAATGCTTTACTGAGTGAGGTAAGCCAGACCCAAAAAGAGGAACACAGTATGTATTCACTCATAAGTGGATTCTAACCATAATTAAAGGTCTTTGAGCCTATTATTCGTGATCCTAGAGAAGCTAAATAAGAAGATAAACCTGATGAAGATTATTTAGCTACCCGCCAGGAGGTAGGAAATAGACAAGAGTCCCAGATCCTTCATCTGGCGAAGGATGGCGATACAGACGGAGACCCACATTGGAGCACCGGACTGAGCCCCCCAAGGTCCAAATGAGGAGCAGAAGGAGGAAGAACATGAAAAAGAAAATCAGGACTGCAAGGGATGCTATCACCCACTGATACAAGGGAACGGATCTAATGAGAGTTTACCAAGGCCAGTTGGACTGGGACTGAACGAGGACGTGATCTAACCAGATTCTCGGAATTTGGCCGGATTCTCTGAATGTGGCTGGCCCGAAGTCTTTCTGAAAAGCCATTGACTATGATACTGGGACTTGTTTCCTCTGCATATACTGGATTTTGGGGATCCAGTCTGTTTGGATACTCACCTGCCTGGACCTGGAGGGAGGGGGGAGGAACTTGAACTTCCCACAGGGCAGGAAACCCTGACTGCCCTAAGGGATGAAGAGGGAGGAGGAGAGGGAGTGGGGGGAGTGGGAGGGTGTTGGGAAGAGGGGCGGAAATGGAAACTTTTATAATTTAATAAAATTTACTCTAAAAAAAAAGGAGCATAAGTATTAAAATCACAACTATTAGACTGCTTGAAAGTTGTTTATGATTATACCCCCAGTTTTCAGAAGAAAGAACATGAAGAATTATGGACAGTCTGAAAGAATACTGAAAAGGCATATAAGCAAGGGGTGGGAAATATTCAATTTTGAGTCACTTGGGCATTAATTCATAGTGTTATCAAAATACTTAAGGAAGATAAAGATGATATTAATCATGATGAAAAGATGGATAATTCCTTGAATGAATGTAAATTGAATGGCCAATCCTTAAAAATTGATAAGAGAGGCAAAAAAGAAGATTTTTCTTGTTCAGGAAAAATCAAAAGTTAAAAACAGTGCTACTGATAATTCTGCCAGTGATGACTCTCTCAGGCTTCCTTACTGAACTTCCTTTATATATGTATTCTCCATTGTCTGAAATGACCCTGAAGCATGAGGGAAGAATTTGGTAATCAATCTAATCTTGAATCCTCTCCACTTCCTGATGAGTCTTTCGGAAAACCTGTGAAAATTCTGTTTACAACATAGACAAGCTAGGGCACAGCAGGGAAGCAGAATTTGTTTACTAATTTCTCCCTGTTCTCATGAGTTGTGCTTGGTATTTCCAGTGCAATTTCAGCAAAATCAAAATGTTTATAAGGGATTAGACATGGATACAATGAAAGACTTTAAAAGGCTATGCTTCCTTTGGGTCTACCGCTACATATTGTAATGAATGTTTTTGTGGTTAGAGCAACAATGTACTGGTTGCCATATAATTTATATTTAATTACTAAAATTGTTCTTAGCCCTTCCCAATTTCTTTGATGGCAAATGTGGCTTATAGATAAAACTTAAGAAAACCAGTCCTAAGAAGTAATTCTAGAAATATCACATATGAAATGCTGACAGGGACTGGTAGATAGGCACCAAAAGAGTATCAGCTGCATAACAGACATTCTGCAGCCCTCCTACATTTTAGGGTTGTAGCTATGGCTGCTTAGATGAAAATTGATTCAGGATCTGACTTTGAGTCTAGTTATATAAAAATTATACAAGGTCTCTTTGAGCCTTATGATGTTTTCACAGGAAGACTCAAAGATGCTATTGAGAAATAAGTAAAGGGGGCACAAACTCAACAGTTATTAAAATAGTTGGCTGTTGATAATGCCAACGAATAATTAGACCTCAGGGAGAGATAGGAAATGTGGTGACTTACAAACACAGAGCAAAATTTGCTGCTTTAGAAATCTATATCACCAAAGTATTTAAATTGCAGCTAACCTGGCCACTTAAAGAAACAATGTAAATTCCCCTTATAACAAATGAAGGTTCAGAACCAAGGAGCTCCTGGCTTATGACCTAAATGCAAGAAAGGAAAACACTGGGCTAAGGAATGCCGATCTAAATTTGATGATGACTACAATACATTGCCTAGTAACAATAACAATAGCAGTCAACAACATGGAACTGGATTGAGGAGTCCTCCTCAGGCCCCACAAAACTAGAGTTTAAATACAAAAACAATAGCATTTGTGTCCGCTTTAGATTGTAACCAATCTGATCGCTTTGGTTTGTTTTATTTTGAGCTACTACTCAAGGAAGTGCTGCTATTGATACTCCTTGTCCTACAGATGTTTCCATCCCCTCTTCAATGTCCTTTTAAGTTACACTTACGATGTTAGGGACATATACTGCCAGAACAATTGAACTTTTATGGGCTTACAGTAGTTTATACATGAAAGGATCACTGTGGTTGCTGACTTATATATAGACAGCAGCTGGGAGACCAAGGAGGATTAAACTGTAATTTTCTGGGATGGTTGATGTAATCTGCTTTGGGGAGCCGTTTAGTTCATGCCTTTTATTTCAGGGAAGTTGCAGACTCTTAATGAGCCTTTCAGTCTACTTGGAGAATTAGATATGATGCTAAATAATCATTGCATAGTAGTCGAAGGAACACGACAAGTTCAAGAACAGAAGTGTCCAGAGAAGGCAAAGAGACTAGGAGAGTTAGGGACTTTTTGTTTGTTTCTTCTTTCTGTTTTTCTTTGTTTGCTTGCCTGTTTTGTTTTAGATTGGTTTGATTGTTTATTTTAAATTTTCTTTTGTGGGAGCACTTCAGTGGTAGGGGAGGACATGGAGGGACTGGGAGCTGAGTAAAATTAGAGTGAATGCATGATGTGAAATTCTAAAAGATTCAATAAAGAAATTATGTTAAATAAAAAAAAACCAAAAAGACAAAACAGGAGAATGGAATACACTTTTTCTTGGGATGGCCACACATAGGAATAAGTTTTAAAATTATATTTAAATTTTTAAAGCTATTCAAAGATAAAATCCTATTTTTTCACCAATAAAAGACACTGTATCTTTGTTAACTTTCTGTTACTGTAATAATATGAGTAAATATTTGTCCCTGTGGGATAGCAATGAATTGAGAAAGAGAAGATGTAATTAGTGGAAGAGAAAGAACAAGGTCAAAGGCTGTGTGAGCGTTTTAAACATAGATGACTAAGAGAATGGGCCAGCAGGCCCCACAAGCTAGAGGATAAAGAAGTTTGAGGGGAGATTTAGTATGGGCCATACAGAGTGTGTAGTACTTATGGGAAATGTTTATATTGTTCTTTGTATGTGTGTGTACGTGCTCACATGTGTGTGTGTACATGTGTTTGCATATGGAGGCCAGAGGCTAACATTGTCTTCCTTAATTGCTCTTCACTTTGCTGAATGTCTCTCAGTCAACCTGGAGATCACTAATGCAACCAAACTGGCTGGCCAGCAAGCCCAGAAGTGTTCCTGTTTCTGCCTCCTTGGCACTGTGATTACAAGCACAGGCAGTCTTGCTTGGCTTTTTACATAGATACCAGGGGTGGTTTTCAGTCCTCCTGCTACCATAGCAAGCCCTTTACCAACTGAGCCATCTCTCCAACACCTGTTCAAATAGATTCTAAGTACCATAAATCAAACATCCTTCTTCTTACAATTTATAATATTTATTCCAGAACACTCCATGGATATATACTGATTAAATATGCTAATTTAAAATTTGTATTTAATTTTCAGTGCCTCTTTTCAGTACAATTTTCTAATGGAATATGTTATTTATGAAAATTATAGTAAATTAACCAAGAACTTCAGATTTATCATTCAAAGTTGCCTTATAATTATCATTTTTCAAAAATATTACTTTTTGACCTACTTTATGTCATAACTTTAACATTATTTTTTTATTACCCTGAATCCAATTTTTATTTAAGAAACCCTGAGAAAAACTAAACTTGGGTACAGTCTGTGACATTCTGAAAAGTGAGGAAGCTTATTTCATGAGAACACCGAGTTTCATGTTCCACATGGGAGAATAAACCTGGCTGTTACCAGCGCAGTTCTGTCAATCACAAGTTCCCATGTCATATGTTTATTTCTCACTCTCCGTAAAGAGGATTTTGAGCTTCACGTTTTGCAAAGACCTTCACTACTTGAAGTAATAAGTGTTTACATTAGACAAAATTCCATGATAAGGTCCTTTTACGACTTTTATCTTTCATTTTTTGGGGACTACTGTTAAGTTGAGGGCCAGGCAGATAGTGTATGGAAGGTAGAATGTGTACATAAGTAAACTCTCTTTTGGAGAGATTCCCAAATCAGCTTCATACTGTGAATCAATAGACTCACCTATTTTGGGGTTGTCCATACCATGCCTTTTGGTACCCAGAATCAGAACAAATAATGATGAAGACCTTTTTAAGATTGCTTACACGGACCTATTTCTTCAGTTTCCTAAGGACTGGGAAAGAAAGGGACACAGGTCACTTATGTCTCAGGTTTTCCTTTTCCACCTTTGCCTTCCCCACCCTACATACCACTCCTGTGTATTTTAATTATCTCACCATGGGGTCTGTTTGCTCTAGGATGGAACATGGCCTGATTTCTTCAGCTTGTGAGATCTGGTCTCCTAGAATGACCAGCATCTTAGACTGACAAGTTCATAATCTAACACCTATTGGCCTCCTTCTGTGATACAATGAACTCACCTATCTTTAGAATTGTTGATCATATGCCTTTTAGAATCAAGAATCTGAAAAAGAAAAAGGAATGATCAAAACCTTTATAAAATTACTAAGAAACCCACAATATCTTTTGCTAGAATCTAGCCAGGAAAGTATAGTTCTCATGCTTCACCAAAGAAATATCTCTCTGCATCAGGAACCATTATAGAAAATCACAACTGATAAAAATGCAGAGAACAAGAAATTCTGTAGTACCCTGACCCAGCTGATACACTTCCAACACAATTCCTACAATTCCTACACCTAAAGGTTGAGGAATCATTGAAGAAGAGGATGTGGAAAAATTGTGAGAGCCAGCGGAAGAGTAACTTCACTGTGACATGTATCTCCTAAAAATGTCAGAGAGACCACACCCATGAAGTCTCATCAACATAGCTGCCTGAACAAGAGCTGAACAATGTTAACACTAATGGACATGCTAACACGGAAAGGGAAAAGCTCAGGGGCTTCGAGCCTAGGCAAAGCTATGGGCAACTGGGGAGTGCTGGGAAAGAGAGAAATGAATTTTTCTAGTTAAGAGTCCCCCAGTTTGTTATCCAATACCACGTGGTCATCCCTGAGATCATATACATATAGGTAACATTATAAAGACTAAGCAGATTTTATTTATGCATTTAGAAATATAGATATATCATACGTGTGTATATATGCATAAGAACTTTTTTTAAAAGGAGGCCGTAAATTTGAGAAGCAGAACAAGGGAGGGTTACATAGGAGGCATTAGAGCTAGGAAAGAGAAGGAAGGACATGATAAAACTGTAATTTCAAATTTTTCAAAAATTACTAAGAATAGAAATCAGAACTAATAAGCTAAGAATAACAGGTGCCACTTTTCTTGTAATGTGAATTAAATGTGTACTTTGTTAAAATAAATAAAAATAATCATCTAACAGATACACCAGAGTGAATGCCATATGTCAAAAACTTACAAAAGTAAATCACTATTTTGAGAAAAAAATTCCATAAAATAAAGAAGCAGACATCAGTTTTTGTTTCTGAAACTCTAATAGACAAGCATTCCACTTATCACTATACAGCAATGAACAACACGTCCATGATACACAAAATGACATTTTATGTATAGTTTATGTTAAGAAGTACCTAATTTAGAATCACAGATTAATTGTGTCCTTACAGTGAACTAATAACTTTTATTTCTCAGACTTCTGACAGTGTCATATATATTATGCTTTTTCCTACAGAAAACTAGAGATATCAATATAAATGCCCTTTAATATTATATGATTACCTTCTCCTTATACTGCACAAAGACTCTCAAATGAGTAAAAAAAAAACTCATTTTATTCAAATGAGTAAAAAAAAAATTTTATTTGTAAAAAAAAAATGTCCATAGTTTCAAAACTTTGTGTTTCTGTTATACATTCTATGTAATTTCCTGGAGAATATATCAAAATGCATATCTCTACATGTTTACATCTTGCCTTAAGTACTATGAATTCTGAAAAACCATAATGGAGACTTTTATTTTGACTTTGGTGTAATGATGAGAAGAATAGTCCCCTAAAATATTTAAAGAAATGAGATGGGAAGGAAGAAAAGATTTAATTTGGGCCCACTGATGTGGCTCAGCAGGAAAAGGTGTAACCTGGTCACCTGCAACCCTTAGAACTTACATAAAGGTGGAAAGAGAGAATTGACTTCCAAAGTCCGACCTCCATATATGCTTTCTGTACTCATACACATATACACACAATAGTATTAGACCATTTTTTAAAGATCCAGTTTGGTACTCTGGCAATTATAAATTATTCTGATAAATGTGAAAGTAAATAAAAGGAAAAATCATACGATAGTGTATTAACATAGAGCACAATAGTTACTAGTGTAAAAATGAGTAGAGATATAGAAGATGCAGATATCACCACTGTCTAACAGTTGTAAGTTTCTGTTTCTACTTATCCTTATCTGTATTTCACTCCACCCAGTAAGTTATCATAATACATCTGTTGTCTGGTCCTTACACAACAGTAAACAAGATTTTGTTTGTTTTGTGTGTGTGTGTGTGTGTGTGTGTTTGCTTGTTTGTTTGTTTCGAGACAGGGTTTCTCTGTAGCTTTGGAACCTGTCCTGAAACTAGTTCTCCAGACCAGGCTGTCCTTGAACTCACAAAGATCTGCCTGCCTCTACCTCCCCAATGCTGGGATAAAGGTGTGCGCCACTGCCACCTAGTGTAAACAAGGTAAATTACAACAGTCAGGGGTAGACGAAATCTTCATGTTTATAAAAAAATTAAATCATACGTTTTTCTTCATGGATGACTTAAGTTTCATTATGTATATGTACAATGTTTTCTTTATCCACTAATCTGTTAACTAGCATCTAGTCTGGTTCCATTTCATAGCTATTGTGAATAGAGCAGAAGTCAACATGGAGATACAAGTATCATTGTGGTAGAGCTTATAGTCTTTCTGAAATACCCAAGAGTGGTATAGCTGGTTCACTCTCATATATTTTATTATAGAAGTAGAAAATATACTGAGATAGTTGCTTTTTACAATAGTTTTATCTTTTAATTTTCATGATAATGATATAATTAATTTACCCAACAACAAAGCAGTTTTCTACTGTTTTGAGACTGACAGTATACTTTACCAGTGAGTTTTATAATTTCTCTATTTTCATGCAGTTACTGATATCCTTTCCCAGGTAGGAAAAGTGGTGGTAAATTCCATTAGCATTTGTTTTTCTTGGCAGTTCCTTTACATTCCACCATTCTGGAAAAGAAAAAAAAAACAGAAATTCTAATTAATATATTCTTGATATACTTTTTTTCTTTGGAGATTTTGAATATACTATCACACTCCCTTCTGATTTATTAGATCTCTTCCCAACAAACATGTAAGTCACTAACATGGCGGTAGGGGAGTCCCTAATAGCATTTTGTCTTGCTTCCTTTACTTTTTGTTGTTGTTGTTGTTTGGTTGGTTGGTTGGTTGGTTTTGGTTTTGGTTTTGATTTTGGTTTTTCGAGACAGGGTTTCTCTGTAGCTTATCCTGGAACTAGCTCTTGCAGACCAGGCTGGCCTTGAACTCACCGGGATCCAGAGATCCACCTGCCTCTGCCTCCCAAGTGTCACCACTGCCAGCTTCCCTTTACTTTTAAGCCTCCCGAACTGTGACAGCTTAACTGTGGTGTGTCTCAGCATGAGTTTCCTGCATCTGGAATTCCAGTTCTTCCCCCAAATGGGAGGTTTTCTGCCACTGTATTTTTTTAGTGTACTTTGTAGCCCTTTCTGCCTCTTTTTTCTTCTGATACACTGATGGTGAAAATGTTGTTCCACTTGATGTTGTTTTGCATGTCTCTTTACCTTTTCCATTATTCTTTCTTTTTATTAATCATTCTTGGTAGTTTTTCCAGTGACCTACCTTATAACTCAGTAATTCTTTTCTATGTTTGATCTAGTATAATACTCAGATCCTCTGTCAAAGTTTTCAGTTCAGTTACAATACTTTCCAGTTCTATGATTTCTCTGAGTCCATGAAAACACTTTTTAGTTAACTATAGAGACATCTTGCTTGTCTGTGTCTATCGATTTCTTATAGGAAACAAAGGAATGTAGTTTTGACTTTTTGCATGATAAATATTTTGTTTTCCTATAAATATCATTGAGCTCTGTCCTGGTGATACATTTAAGGTATTTGAAAAAAATGTCTTGCTTTTAAATTTTCTTAAGAAAAAACAGAGAAATTATTAGATTAAAGGTAATGAACCCTTTATATCAAGATAAAGGCTTTTCACTGCAACTGGCAGAACTAGATATTATTCCTGGCCCTATGTGAGTGTTGAATACTGTTTTTCCAAATCCTTTGTCACTTTTTTGATCCTAGTCAGCTGTTCGCAAATGATGGGTACAAGTGCTTACTACAGTGTGGAATTTTGAGGGGTCTTTCTGCTTCTCTGTGATGTCCTTATTCTGTGCAGGTCTTGTGTCTTTTGTAAAATACAGCTTAATCTTCCATATTCCTAATATTGCCTTTTACAACTCAGAGGATTTCTTGGCCCTACTGTTTTCTTGTCTGTGCCACGGTCCAAAAATCTCCAGGCAGTAAGAGTAGTCACATGAGAAACTTCACTTAGTTCCTCTTTTCAGGACCAATTCTCTTTGTTCCTGGAGGTTTGACATTTGGAAAAACAGTGCTTCATGTATTTTGTTAATATTCTTCCAAGTGAGCATGTGAATCCAATGTATATCGTGCCTTCCTTGCCTTTACATTAAGCTGCTATCAATATTATTTCATTTTAATGCTAAAATTTACTAATATAAATATATATAACTGCCATACTCTCATAATTTCCCTTCCATTTTTTTAAAAAAATGAAGCACAAATTTATTTTACTCCAAGTCATAACTATGAAATTCTTATCCAGGTTTCAGTGGGTTTTAGTCTGAGGTCTCTTCTTTGTTTAATTGCATTTTTGATTATTGTATTTTTGATTATTTATTTTTAATTATAAGGCTATAATCAAAATAAGGCTATATGTAAATATTTAGTGCTCTTTTTTCTGACTTTGAAAAAATCATCAGTTCTTTTCTCTCTTACTTGATTATTTAAAAATTTTAAGGGACGGATATAGCCTCTGGAAATGAAAAAATTCTAGTTTTTAGTTATATTTATATGATTGAACTTTGATTATCAGATTTTTAAAAAGGACTGTTGCTGTACATGTGCTTTTAAGTTTTCCATTTTGTTCATGCATTTGCCATTCTAATAATTCTTAAACAGAACTGTAGCCTGAGCATGGTCCTATGTGCCCATACTTACTTATATCCACTGTCCATAGAAGACTTTAGATACACTTTCCACTATCATTTCCTAAGAGACGAAGAAGGTGGTGTCTTCAGATTTACCCACTGAACCATGTCCTATGGGTAAATACAACTTTGCCTTTTAAGTAAACCTTACATTGAAAGATAAGTTAAAGAGGAAATAAAAAATATCAAAATTAATCAATTTATATCTGAAGGAGTGAAAGAACAGAGTGACCCTACTAAGAGACCTGACTTATACTTTGGCGGGGGACTCCACAGTAGCAGTGGCCTTCTAGGTTCCATCAAAAGGCTCGTTATGGAACTAAATTTCATGTAAGGGTGGAATTCGAGAGTGTTGATCTTTAAAGCATATTTTCCTTTCCTAGGAAAATTTCATGTCATGCGTCACCAGCCACCATATGCATCAGTTGGCACTTGGCAAATTATCATCTGCTAGATTTATTGATAGAAACAAGAAGTTCAGGATAAATCCTCTAAAATGAAACAAATAGTATTCCTACTAGATTAAAATCTATATTTAAATAGTAATTATGCTTAGGTGTTTATTGCAGAGTGTTAAATTTTAATAAATTCACATTGGACATCTAAGGGAATAAATATATTGTCATAGACTCTTTGAATAGCACAGTGTGCACCTTATTTATTATTCATGTGGAAGTTATTCCACATGAATTATTCTGGTATACAGTGCTATGAGAAATTCTAGAATCATAAGAAACCCAAACAGCCAGCATTTAACGTAGATCCTCCTGTAAAACTTAGCATTTGGAGATAACTTTTCAAAACCAAAGAAAACTATATTTAATTGGGGAGAGGGGATGAAAAACACCTGTTGACAGGATTTTTAATATATATTCCTGACTATCCACATTTAGAAAGTAGTGTTTATTTTCCTTTTAACTAATAACAATATGACTAAATTACCGAACTCTTACTATTTATAGGCAGTGGTACTTTGTAAAAGCTATTCACAGACAATCTTCACAAAATATTCAGAAAAATAAAATTACATTCATTCCAAAGACATAGAATTAGGGGTTTAGAGAGACTTAGAATCTTACTGTCAGGTGAAGAGGGAAAGGTTCTGATGCTTGTCTCTAAAGTCCATCTCCAGGACATCTGATCTTCCAGAAGGGAATTTCCTACTCATTTTATCACTTTAACTTTGTTTTATTTATTTATTTACTTTTAGTTCTTCTACCCTCCTTATATACCAATGACAGTTCCTTTTAAAATTGGAACCAGGGATTCACATTAAGTCATTCTGCAGAGTCCTTGCTTAATATTCTTAGGAAATTACATCCAAATGTAATCATTTTTCCTCCATCACTAAGGAAGGCATATTTGATGGAGATTCTCATAATCTTAGATATAATTCTTTTGAGATAGATGAATTGTTTGAAAACATTTTGTATAATAAAAATAACATATCCCTAGCTACTTTGACAACCTGAGTTTGATCCCTGGATCCTATAACATGGGAAGAAGAGATAGCTGACTCCTGAGAATTGTCTTCTGAACCTACACACACACACACACACACACACACACACACACACACACACACACA